CTATTCTCCTGGGTTCTTACACCAACCAGGTCAACATAATTAACAAATCGCTGTCATAGGAGTAACCAGGCCTGTAACAAAGAGAGCCTTCACCTGTAGAGGGTGAACCCCGGGGCGGGAACAGGCTTGGCCTAAACCTTGCTCAGAGGCTATTCAGAGCAGACACTGGCTTTCTCAAAAACAGAGCTGAGCTGACACATGGTACATGCCTGAAGTTTCAGTTTCTAGAAGACTGAGGTAGGAATATTCCTTGAGTCTTGGAGTTGGAGGCCAGTCTGACTAACATAGTGAGACCTAGTGCCCTGTCTCTGTCTCTGTCTCTGTCTCTGTCTCTGTCTCTCTCACACACACACACACAACAACAACAAAAAGATCAGGGCTGGAAGGAAGCCCCTTTAGCACAGAAGAGGGTAGGGAGAGCCCAGGTAAAAAGATTTCCCCCACCGGCCAGGTGAAGATGCAGTAGCGGAGCTCAGCCTTGTGCCTTGGTCATGTTCTTTTTCCATTTGTCAGCTGGAGGAGAAATCTCATATGCTGCTGCTTGGTATCACTCAGTATATTTAGTTACCAACAGCTTTGCTGTCAGCCCCTTAGACCGAAGCCTCTTGGGTGAGGATCCTGCATATGCTCTACTGGGGAGGCTGAATTCATCCTGTTCTACTGGGGCCCTGTCCTAGATCACTGATCTGCGCAGGGGAAAAGCAACAGAAAAAAAAAATACAGATAAGAGGTGTATATTTTAGTTTCAAGGGGTACCAGGGTGGTCAAAGCCCAATGCCAGGCTAGGACACGAGGCACAGTGTCGTTGGCTTTTATTAGGTGCACAGAGTGATGGGGGGTGGGGTGCTGCAGGAAGTGATGGGGTGCTGATGCAGTCAGGGTTCAAAAATTAAGGAAAAATGCATTTTTGGAAAAACACACAGGAACAGATCATGGCTAACTAGTAACCTGACTGTCTTCTAACTGCGACTACTGAGCCACAAGGAACTTGCACAGGTCAGCTCCTCTGCTGCCATATTTGCTTGCTTTGAGGCACCAGGACTTCATGGACTGTTGCGAGGCTTGGCTCTGGCCGTTGGCTTAAAGATGAATCTGTTCTGTATGACGGTGCTGTCTGACGCGTCTTTTATGACACAGGGCAGAAGCAGCCCCGTGACAGTGTTACAGGCCACTAAATGGTAAAAACAGCATTGCTTTGGCCATGAAACTCATCCTAAGAGACTCACATGCTTCACGGATAAGGGAGCTGGTCTGTTACCAAATTGGGGTGATGTGGGGTTGTTACGGGTTCTCTCCTTTGTCTGATCTACCGAGGTTTGCGGTTTTCTGTCGGAATACAGAAGTAATCCTCACCCATTTCTGAAATGGAAGGCTGCAAACAGAAAATCAATAAAATACGAATGGTCTCCCTCCTTTGGGGCATGGCAGGAAGGGAGCAAAGTGCCCACATTTTCCGAAGGTGGACTCCTCTGCTGTGTTAACAGAGCCCCACCCTGACCGAGCTCACAGCGCTGTGAGTGTCTGCTGCAGCCTGATTTTCAGCTGTCGCTGTCACAGACAGATCATGAAGGTAATGTGAGTTGACAGACAGGGAAGGGAAATGCTTTTCCCATGGCATAGATGGAGGAGGTGGGCATTTTAATGTGCAAAGGTAAGAAGGAACATTCTGATCCCATACTTGGCATTACACTAAGGCACCATGCTGCCCATTCGCATTTAATGAAAGTAATGTCCATATCCAACCATCGGAATGTATTCATAACAACGAGAAAGAAAGATTAATCTGTCCGTAAGCCAGCTGGGAGACTCGTCACACATCATGCAGGCTTAGGACAGACTCTCAATTTATTTTTGTGCCTACTTATTAATATTAATTATCGCCTGCTCTGTACCACGTCAAACTGTCCTCAGCACTGTTTGTTGAGGGCAGAAGGACTCCACTTTCATAAGCTGTTGGCTGTGCTAGGGGATGGCTCAGACTCATCTAGAATGAAAAAGCTGAGACCTGGGATCTCAGCTCCTCTTACTTGGGACTGTAAGACAACTTTTGACATCAAAATACAGAATCAAATTGTGCCTCTGGGGCCAGCGAAGGGAGAGAGGGCACAGGAGATGGGCTGTTTCCCCTTTTCACAGGGTAATAGGGGTTCCCATCTTGACAGGGTGGAGAGGACCTGGCCAAAAGCATTCGCCTTGCTGGGAGAGAGGTTGGTCCTGGCATAACATGGTTTAAGCAAGTGAACTTCCTAAAGGACAAAGGTCTGCTCATCAGGGCCAGTGAGGGTTGATATCTATTTTATATCATTATTTTCAGTATTATAATAAATTTTATTAACCACTGCAGTCAGATTAGCTGGACTCTGGGCATTTAAGGATCTGTGCTCCGTAACTGCTGTTTATGGCTACTAAGCACTTAAAATGTAGCTACTTTGAAAAGAAATATAACATACCCATCAGTTTCCAAAGATTTACCGGAGGGGGGATTTTATCAATTTAAAGTTTAGCTTATATGTTGAAATGGTAGTAATTTGCTTTTGGTGGGCTAAAGAAAATTAGATGGGATTACAGGCTAAGACTCAAAGGACAAGACTAGGAAAGAGTGACCTTCAGCAATCCCTAGTGAGTGTGGGGAGAGGCAGCAGTGAGGATCTGAATACACCGCGAGGTGAACTAGGTCCACACACTGGCATCCTCAGAGGGGCTACAGACATAGGTGCATCGGGAAATCTGTTAAAGATTGGCCTTGCTTGGCCTGATCGGGTGGCGCGTGACTGTAATCTCAGCACTCAGGAGGCAGAGGCAGGAGGACTGTTTGGAAGTTCAAGACCAGCCTGGGTTCTGAAGTGAGCTTAAGGCCAGCCTGAACTGCATAGCAAGACTGTGTTAAAAAAGATAAGCGAGGGACAGAGAGAGAGAGACAGAGAGAGAGACAGAGACAGAGAGACAGACAGAGAGAGACAGAGACAGAGAGAGAGACAGAGAGAGAGAGAGGGATTGGCCTTGCCATGGTATAAAAGAGAGGGACAGACAAAAGTTGCACAATAGATACTAAAATGCAGTTGTAGAAGAAGAATAAATTTTAGTGTACTACACTCAGGAGGGCGATTATTAAACCCAGGGCCTCAGGCATACAAAGGAAATACTCTACCATTGAGCTACAGCCCCAGTCCTTTGAATATTAAAAAAAATTTTGAGACAGAGTTTTGCTAAATTACCAAAAGGGGAAGAGAAGAGAGGTGACAAACTGCCACATAGGAAAGGAAAATGAAGTACACAAGCGTCAGCGTGAGACGCGGCATGGAACATGCAGCTGTCATGTGTGAAGCTGCTTCGAGTGTGACAGTTGAAGCAAAGCTTATTTTTTTTTTAACTTTTTGCTTATTTTTATAGTAGAGTTCTATTGGTGTTTCCACTGTAGGAACTTATTTCTGATGTTACATTTTAGGTTTTGCAATCAAGTACACAGATGATGTGAAAATGTGGTGTCTTCTAAACACACAATACGTATTAAGAACTTAGCAATTTATTTTATTGATATTTTATGTTCCTGTCAACTGCACACTGTTAATATAATAAGAACCTCCTGGCAAAACAGTAAGACTACTGAGAGGTCAAGAATGTCCTACAAAAAGGCCAGGAAAGCAACACACCCGTACTGCAGCGTGAGCAACGGGTGTGCATGCAGTGTTGCTGTCGAGGGTGCGGCTGTCTTAGGGTGATAACTGATGGTGTCATTAATTTTTTGTGGCGTGCGATGACTATTTATACTGCGGTCCATATGCAATTTATTTCTCATGTTCCTTTTTGAACTCTGAACACCACAAACCAGTTGATGTTGAAAATTTTGATGCTTTTTTATAAACAATAAATATTAAATCTTAATACTTTAGTTTTGTGATATTCTTTCCTTTTAAATACTGAGGGGCCTGGGGATTTAGCTCAGCGGCATAAGCGCCTGCCTTGCAAGCAGGCAGTCGTGAGTTCGATCCCCGGTACCGATAAAAAGACAAAAAAAAAAAAAAAAAAAAAAAAAAAACCCTTTTAAATACTGATTGTTTAGTGTAGTAAAGCTAATGAAATTAAAATGAATAATTCATCAATAGAAATATTCTAAAGAATAAACGTGGGTCTGATGTCCCACACTTAGGCTCTTGATGATGAAATTAGTCTCTGCTCCAAGAGCTGCAATATAGTGGTTAAAACAATGTATCAATCCAGAAGCCTCCGCTGGGGAGAGGAGCGGGGGGGAAGCCCTGGGATGTATCCCAGGGAGCTCAGAAGGCTCAGCAGCTGACCAAGTAGCTCCAGGTCAGGGCCCGAGGACTCTGTTAGCCATGGCTATGCTGTACGGATCTTTGTACCAGGGGTCAAATGACAAATACCTACCGTAACGGCTCTGTATCATAAGAACACGGAGTTATCCAGAGCCGTGGACACTGCTGTGCCCACTGCATCGTTTTCCGGTTCTGTGAGTCCATCTCAGCTCCTGTGACTTTGCTCCTAATAGCTACAGCTACTGGGTCTCTGATCCAGAGCTCCAAAGGCCCCAGAGTCAGGAACAACTGGGATAAGGGCACGGGCTGTCTCCACGCGGGACAGCTCTCAGGGGCCATTTCCACACGAGCTCTCCAGGGAGTCGTCTGAAATCTCACCCTCTTTAGCTTCTCCCCTTTCCTCCTCTCGCTCCCCCAGTTCCCTTCTGGTTTCTCCTGGAAGCACTTACTAAAACACATCACTGCAGAGCTTATCTCAGGCTCGGCTTCTGGAAAACCCCACTATAAAAGCAGAGTCCCTTTATTGTGGTTATCAGCCTTGACCTTGGGTGGTAGCCACGGAACACGCAGCCCCTGAATACGTGGGGGATTCCGGATCCTTTGCTGAGAGACTTCACCTTGTGACCACAACAGTAGCAGCTTCAGGCCCAAGGAGGGGCCCATGTGTGGTCTGCATGGAGGCCCTGTCTGGGAACCCGCAAGAACATCACACCACAGCCACGTGACTTCCCCTTGGACTGTTTATTCGCTTGCTCTTTAGTCAGGCTCTTCCCCAGACATCTTTTAGCTCCATCACGGCCTCTTTTCCACAAAGCGGAAACTGCCCAGCTCTTGTCTTCTTTATGGTCCCCCCTGCTCGCTTGCATAGAATATTTCAAAATCAACACTGAAACAGGAACTTGGCTGAGTTTTGCAACTCAGAAGCATGTTCTAGGCCATATTTATAGACAGGGTCGGGGAAGAGCAGGGAGTCCACGGGGTCTGTCCACACCGAGGGTAGTCACACTGGGGTGTGGAGAGCAAGGGGAGGGCGTGCTGTCTGAGTCCTGGGGCTCCAGCAACCTCAGAAATGACTGACTCAGGACAGGAGCGCATCGCGAAAATCAACAAAGGCACGCTATCTCCGTGTGGGAGGCCCTCACTTCCTCCTAAGGTAGATTAGATAAAAATAAAAGCAAGCCCACAAACACACAGTAACCAAACACACACAAGACACACTTGAAGTCTCCAGATAAACGCCCTTAGACGGCTGGAGAGATCTGGGGTTTTGGCCTCTAAGGCAGAAGCCACTGTCCCCGGAGAGGGGGCAACAGCTCCTGAGGCTCTGGGGTCTGATCTGACAGGTGGTTCTGGCCCACCTGGATGGGACATGCACCTGTTTCATTGTGATGGTGACTTGCAGGAGTGTTTCTGGACTCTAGGCATCACTGTCAGGGCGAAGGCTGGCCATTTCTACATGGCTTTGCGAGTAGGGGCTGCCTGGTTCCAAGCCTGCTTTGTTACTAACCACTGTTCTCAGATCTGACACGCAGCAAATGTTTAATGGACGGTGAATGAAATAATCCAGAGAGAAATCCTGTTCCCCCAAGGACACACATCTATAACCTTGTCACTGGTTACACAATATTTTTTTGATCCTGCAAACTGTAATTACAATATACTTATTCTCCTGGCCCTAAAGGAACTTTTTGTTTCTTTAGTTGAAGCTGACTCTTTTCAGGTGGAGTCAGGGCATACATGTGACTACGTCCGAATGAGAGGGTCTTTGGCAAATGGACTAGTGATTTTAATAGGATGATCAATACATCTCTGGGGCTGCAAGTGGCTGCTGGGGACAGGGAAGGTCTGAATCTGGCTGGTGGTGAAGACGTTCTTGTTTAGCTGCCTGGAGAGATGGGATCAAGTACCGGAAGGGAGAACACAGAGGTGTGGGAGGAGGGAGGTCAGGGCTGTGGGAGAACCGAGGACCAATCAAGAGGACGTGGATGTTGTAGTGGGGCAGCTCGATAGTTGAACTCGGGCACATGGGTGCTGACTGGGGAGACAGCCCCCAGACGCGGGGGGAGAAGCCTGCTCTGAGGAGATCTGTTTCCAGGGAAGGCTCTAAGCTTGATTATTGGACCCGTAGGGAGTGGGGAGGGCTAGCCTAGGGTGTCCACGCTGCAGAGAGAGTCACGAGGGCTGGGAGGTGATGAGGAATCAACACTTCAAGGCGGCAGTGGATTTGAAATGACTGCAGTTCAAGGTGTGGCTGGGGCGCCAGGGTCCCTTTCTGAGTGATCAACCTTCAACTTTAGGGTTCAAGGACCAGTAATCCCATCTCTGGATCTCCTTCTTCTCCCCCACTATTCCAGAAACTAAGGATTTTTGGGGAATGGCTTGGATCCATGATTTTTTGAGTTTTGTTTTGTTTCTCATGTCAGGGCTCTGCAGATGCTGGCCACACACCCAGGTGTCTTCAGGAGGGACACAGCTGAGGCTCACCGGGGGTGACACAGGTCCTTCCCAGGGAGGGCAAGGCACAGTTTCCCCAAATTCCACCCCACTCCCCGCAAGTCTCCCAGCAGGGCCACCCAGTGCAGCTGAGGCAGGGGAAGGGCCTGGAGAACTCAAGGATGGAGGGAAGCTCGGGGACCCGCAGGTCAGGGCACCATGTGCCACCACTTGAAGGAGAAGGGCTTCCTGCGGACGTTGGTGCCACAGTGCACCTCCCCCAGGAACTTGTGGTAGGCAGAAATGTCGTCAATGAAGGTGCAGACGAAGCCCAGCGGCTCCAGCAGGCTGCGCACGTGGGTCTCCAGACAGCACTCATCCTCCAGCTGGGGCCCGAAGGGCTTGGGAATGCCCAGGTCCTTGTCCAGCACGATCATGTTCACCTGGGTAGAGGCAGTTGCTCTGTAAGCACCTACGGTGCGCCCGCCCTATTCTAAGCTCCCAGAGCCCTCACTGTAATCCTCTGATGGAGCGATTGGGGCAGTCCTCTTCATAGGGTAGGGAAACTGAGGCATGGAGGATGCTAACCAATGCACAAACACAGGGCTGAGTGGAAAACCAGGCAACCTGGGACCTGAGCTTCTGACTGGGCAGCCTTGTCCAGGGCTCCTTCTGGATCTGACAGCCCCCAACTTGGAGTGGACAGGGGTTGGCCTTCGGAGGGTCTCACCATGTTTGGGAAGAAGGCTCTGGCCTGGCGGTACTCATCCATCTTGAACAGAGCAGGCAGGTCAATGATGTCCTGCTCGGTCAGCCCCAGCTCCTTCTTGAGGATGTCACGGTTCCAGTCGATGCAGCGCTGGGTGGTGGCAGGCGAGGGCATCAGAGGAGGGACACATAACTGCCAGCTGGGCTGCAGTGTCGGGCTAAGGGCCCTGGCACTCCAGAGAGACTCCCAGCTCTCAGCAGGCACCTGGTCACCTCTCCTAGCGCCCCTCCTTGGGACTTGGGGAAACAACACCAGCCACTACCACTCACCGGACCCCGTGCCAGGTGCTTCTCTCCAGGACCTCACTGGCTCCCCAGGCCACCCCAGGACACTGGTGATGGCTTTGCTAATGATCGTAGCAGCAAATGCGTAAATGTGCCTGGCTCTGACCTGAGCACTGGACGCGGGTACTTAGTTAAGCCTTAGCCTGGAGGGAGTTACCAGCCTCACCCCCTTTTTAGAGTGAAAGAGAGTCACAGTGAGCTGGCTGGGTTCCTTTTGCCCAAAGCGGGGGCCACGATTTGCTCTCAGAGCTACCTGAGCCCAGGAAAGGCTCAGTGAGGCACCTGTTACGGTGGATACCTTGTGTCAACTTGAGAAGTCTAGAAGCTTAACCAAGTGACTTAGCAGCTCTAAATCCAGCGGTGTGGAGACAAGCCATCACCACACTAGGATGTTGTGCACTGTGTCAATCTGAGAAGGTCAGAAATATAACTCAGTGATTCAGCAGGGCTCAGGGTCCTTACTTTGTAACAGCCTCAGCCTGTGCAAGAGGACCCACGTAGGTGTGAGTGCTACACCCACCCTAGGACTGTAACCTGCTTCCCATGTAAGGGAAGAAAAGAGGCTTGCTCTGCTGCTGCCTTTGCTGGAGTGTTGCCCGGGTGCCAGGCCACCGTGCCTTGGAGCCAGCTGATTATAGACCGAAACCTCCACAAACAGTGAACTAAACAAACCTTTCCTTCCTTTGTTTTGGGCATTGGGTATTTTGTCTCAGCAACAAAACAAGAGAAAAATAACCAAGACAGATGCCTATAATAAAGCCAGCTTTCAAACAGCCAGTGAGGGGACTGGTGACCTTCACTGGATCTTACATCACTTTCCTGGAATTCATCCCACCCCTTCTTCTGCAGGTTGTTGGGCTGTCGGCCCAGTGAGTACCCTGTTGCCTCTACCGCTTTGCTCTGGTAGTCAAGTTAGGGATGGGCAGTCACTCAGAATTAAGCAAATCAATGTACAGAGCCCTTGGTTTAAGTTGGGTCAAATCAGAGTGAAATGCTAGCTCTTGTTTAATTGTTGCAGGGCACAAAAAAGTTCTTTTTTGTTCCTGATATGCTGGGTATATGTTGGCCCTAAACCATTTGCAGCCTGAGGGCACCTGCAGAGACCAGGAAGTGCAGAGAAATGGACCTGGAACCTTGATCAACCTGTGCCTGAAATCTATACCACTGTGAGACTTTCCATTTGTATGAATCAATCATATCTTCTTGCTTAAACCCATCTGAGTTGACTTGTACTTATATGAGCATTTTTCTGGGAAGCAGGTCAGAAGCGTTTATCATGCTCTGAAGGAATGTGTCTTCCCTAGATGACACACAGTGCCTGGCAGAGATCCTGGTCCTTGGCACTGCTGGTGCCCCTACCTTCCTGGAGCTTCCAAGCCTGCTAGAAAGGACTGTGATGCCCCTTTATTTAAGGAGGCTGCTCTCGGGCTTGTCAAGGCCCTCTAGGTGCTGGCACACTCTGGACCATGAGCCCTGGGCAGGAGCCCCAGAGGCTGGGCGTTCTCCACGATGGGGATGTGCGCCTGGCCCCTCCCGGGCCTCACCTGGAAGTAGTGGTTCTCCTTCACGAGGTCCTCACTGGACAGGATCTTGTTGATGGTGATCCTCTTGCTGCTCATACCCCCAAGGCCTGCGGAGGTCAGAGGTCAGGACAGTCAGACCCGACACACACGGGCAGGACTTGGAGGGGGTCTAGGGGGTGAAGCCAGGCAGAGGCCCAGCAGGGAGGGAACCCCGTGCCCTCTGCCTGAGGAGGGCCTGTGTGCTCCTTTCTCCTGCGTGGGCCCTGTCACCTGGGAGGAGAAAGGGGTGGCAGCTGCCTTGCTCTCAATCTGGGCAGCAACTGGGGGTGACATAAGCAGCCACCTGCTGCAGCTGACCAGAACGAGTGTCAGAGCAGCCGCACCACCTTTCCTGTTGTCCAGACTCACCCCCAGCTTGGCCCCGCCCTGCAGAGGAGCCTGTCTCTGCCTCCAGCCCTCCTGATACCTTGTGATTAGTGACACCTAAGGTGCACTGAGCATCTGCTCTTCTAGGGCTCTATGCTGATGGCCCCATTAGTCCTCCCCATATTTCTATGCCAGGGAAGGAAACTGAGGCACAGAGTGGTTTATGTGACTTGTCCAGGGGCTCTCAAGCAGCTCCTGGCTGAGCTGGTGGGCACAACAGAGGCCAACAGCAGAGCCCTGCCCCTCACCGTACCCTGCCTGAGCTAGGAGGAGCGTGCTGGACACTTGCACTTCCTAAACTGGAAAACGGCAGAGATCAGGCCGGGCGGGGCATGGAGCTCAGCGATTGTGCCTTGGCTTAACGCGTGCCAGGACCTGGGTTTGATCCCCCAGCACCGCAAGAGAAAAAAGGAGAAAGAAGAAGAGAGAGGGGCTGATGGACCTTATCTGAGCCGTCTCCACACTTCTCAACCTCGTTAGCACAAAAGTAACCACAGCTCCTGTGTCCTATGGGTACATTTTAGGCTCCGTTTAGCAGCAAAGGAAGGTTCCAAAGGTCAAGCCTCACTCCTGCCCATCCAGGAAGGAACTCTCCTGCAGGGCTGGGGTTTGTTACACACAGTGTCCTCCTCTGGGCCTTTCTGTTCCTGACGCCACCAGCAGCCAGGAATGCTGACTTTGGATGCGAAGGACAGAGATGAAAGTGGGCAGCCTCGGTTTGACACAGGCATTTGGGTGTGAGATAGACTGGGACTGAGCACCTAAAACGCAGCACAACTACAGAAAAAGTTGGATAATGGGCATATACAGAGGTGATGGTGATTCAACACCGCACACGTATCTCGGTCCCCATACTGTGTCTTCGACTAAACGGTAGGAGAGTGATGTAATTTCATCACAATAAGAGCAACCAACAAGCAGCAAGAGTGGGCCTGGCCTCTGACCCGGCTGGCGGGCTCCGCTGATCACCGGCCTCCTCTCCCATGATTAATTTAAGGACGGCACTTGGCCGGGTCTACACCGCCCCAGTTAGGCAGAGGTCTAAATTACCCCACTCATTTCTCATTCTGGGACCCAGAGTGATGATGCCTCACTGTCATCATGGCTGTCACAGCTCGCTTTTCTTCCTGGCCCTAAACTGTGCTTGGTCTGTTTTCCTCTCTGTCTCCCTTGTGAACCACAAGCTCCCGGGCGCCAACCGTGCACAGGTGTTGGAACCTGTGACTCCCGTGGGCTGGCACACATTGAGTCCTGGAAAAACAATCTGTGCTTTTGGTGACAGGAAGGACGAGGGGTGGCCCAGTGAGCCACTTGGCTACAGCAAGGGACACAGAGGCCTGGGTGGGCTAGCCCTGTGGTGGGCTGGTTCACACCGGCCCCATCCTGCTGAGGGTGTCTTGGGGACTCGACACCGAGGCTCTTGGTCACTCACCTTTGAACATGATGGCTTCACCATGGCCTTCCCTTTGCTTCTCTCGGAAGAGTTTGTAGCAGGCTGAGGTGCTGGCCATGAGCAGCCGGAATTCCTGTGAGAGACAGCCAGGCGGGTAAGACGGCCGGGGAGCAGGGAGGGGCCCTGTGCTGTCTGTCTCCAAGCACTATTTCTCACCTTCCCACCATCCCTGCAATGCACGGAGTCTAAGCTCAGAGTCAAAGGCGGCCGTGGACAGAGTGGAAGGACTTCCCCCAGATGCTGTGAGCAGGCCACGGGCACAGGATTTCCGGGGTTTGGGGTGGCAGCCACTCCTTTTCAGAAAATGAAGCTGCAGACCCCAACCCATCCCTCTCTAGAGCATCATGGCCATTATGGCAGCCACCAGCATCGGGTGACAATTTAACAATGGTTACTCTAAACAGAGGTGTGAGCTGGGTGTGGTGGTGCACCCCTGTAATCCCAGCACTCAGGAGGCTGAGGCAAGAGGATCCTTCTGAGTTCGAGGCCAACCTGGGCCACAGAGTGAGCTCAAGGCCAGCCTGAACCGCAGAGTGACACCCCGTCTTAAAACACAAGAATGAATAAATAAAAATAAAAATAATTTTTAAAAAGGTGTGCTAGGAGAATAAAACATTCACCAGATTATAGAGACTTAGTAAGAAAAAAAGAATAAAAAACTACCGATTAATTGCTTTTTATCTTGATGACATACTTAAATGCTGGTATCGGGTTAGAACAGACCAGGGCCAACCACAGCCCACGAACCAGCTTCAGCCCACTTCCCGTTTCCTCGCTTCCATCTAGCTCCTGCCTTCTGCTGGCCACGGCGGGCACCCACGGGCTCTCCGCTCGCCCTTCTGCTCGCTTCAGTCTTGGGGACAAGCTCACCTTTTTGCCCGGGATGGGGACGAAGGTCATGAACTCGTCCACGTGACCCACTCTCAGCCAGTCCGAGTAGAGCTCCACAGGTGCCTGCACCTGCTGGGCCTTCAGGAAGTCGCGCACCACCTTGGTCATCCGCCGCCCGCCAGACCTGGGGTGAAGTTGGGGGGTGGCTCTTCAGAGGGTCCCCCGCCCTGCCTGCCGCAGAGGGCCTGCAGCCTGGGCCAGCACGGCCTGCACAGGCTTTAGGATCTGCCCTGGACCCTTCCCGAAGCATCACATAATCAGTGCAAGAGACACCTCCTCCAGGAAGCCTTCCTGACTGTGAGGCTCCACCATGTCAGTCTCCCCGTTGCCTAGTTCCTTATGATGGCCCACAACCCTCTCCTGTGACCCTGCCCAGGCCTGGTCCTGCCACCTCACCTGCCTCCCTGCCTCCCGGATCTGCTCGCTCCAGCCCCCTGCACAGCTCGGCCCTTTTGCCCTGCTGTGTTTATTGTTTGGAAGGCTCTTTGTGTCCTCTGTGGCCTCCATGGCTCAGCTACGAAGTCACGGCCTCAAACCCACTAGAGCGGAGTCCCCATGCCAGCCCTTCATCCTGCTCCTTGCTTCGTCCTCCTTACTCTGGTCAGTGCCTGGAGGTCTCCTGCTGCCCTGTTCACGCTCCGCACCCCTCACCCAGTGAGAGCCCCTGGGGCCTGGGGCTCTGTGTCCCCAGAACCAACAACAGCCTGGTACAGTCAGTCTTTAATAAGTATTTGTCTTTAAAACGCCTCCTGAACTCTCTCTTTGGGCCCCCAACTGCCCGCTCTTCTTCCTATTGCTCTATGCCCCTCGCCCCACTTTTTCTGTAGGTCCAATCTGCATATCTGTGATCCCTGCTGTCTCCCTGAGGGCTGGGGTAGGGGGTGCAGCACTTGGCTGGTTCTCAGGAAATGGCAGCTGAATGGAATGGATGAGTGACCACTGAGCGGAAGGAGAAGAAAAAGAGGATGGGAAAATGGTCACTGCTTGTGTCCCCCAGAAGGTGGAGTATCCCACGGGGCTCAGACGACTTGGCTCCCAAAGCCTGGATGTTTGCACTCATGCAGGTTCTTGGCAGCCCTTTTATGCAGTGAGAATCCGAGCACACATCAGTTCCCCAGCAATTGCCTTGACCAAGGAAGAATTTGCCTTTTGTTTGCTGGTGGGTTAATGGGGCAGGGAGTGGAGGTGCTGTGGACAGGTCAAGGGGTGAGGGACTCATGCTTCTTGGGCCAGGTCATTGTTTATCGTGTTTCTGTCATACATGAGGAGCCCTGAGGATTCATGAATGTGCTCCTGCTCACCATCTCTGTCTGTCTCCCTTTTCTAGACCCTGTTGTCTTTTTGCCACTAGTTTATAATCTCCTCATACACTCTCCCACTTGAGGAAGAGACCTGCTTCTTTGGGTACACATTAGATCCTAATTTATACTAAGATGTAAAGACTAACTTAACTTTTTTCCCCCAAAAAGTCACGGAGAGTCGTGGCCGAGGGTGATTTTCCCAGGATCTCACTACATACATGAGCAACCCAGGTGACCCCAGAAGAGAAACATGCCTGACCCTCTCCCGCTGCCCCAGGTCATCCACCCTGGCTTCTCTTACAGAGGGAAGCTGCTCCCGATGAGGATCCGCCCAAGGGGGTACGTCTTGCCGTTCACGGTCACCGGGGGGCTGACCTCCAAGTTCCCGAAGGAATCAAGGCTGGTGACGGACTCAAAGACGGGCTCCCGGGTCACGTAGCCGAAATCCGGGCCCTGGGTGGACACACACCTGTCATTGGTCTCCGGCAGCCAGGAGTCCTCCTTCCAGGGAGCTGCCCACAGATGCCCACCCCTTCGCCACCAGCTCCTGGTTGCCGGTCATTTCTACAGGGGCCCGGGCATAGCAAGGGGTGAGTGTGGGGCTGGATGTGAGTGTGTGTGCATCTGGATCGCCGTGTGTGCCTCTTTTCCCAAACACGGATGCACGGAGGAGACTTAAGATCAGTTCTCGTGTGTGCTCTTACTGTCCTTGTTCAGCTCTCAATCTTTCTCGGACCCTCAGTTTCCCTACCTGCTGCATTAGGTCGGGAGGTAGGTTGGTTATTATTCCCAGGGATTTGGCTTCCTGGCCCATCGCCCTGTGAATTCTAATATCTTTCTGCCAAAACAATAAACTTTGCCAGGCCAGCGTCAGGGTCACATGACTTGCTTTGGCCAATGAAACGTGAGCAGATGGGAAGTTGTGTCAGTTCTGAGCAGAAGCCCAAGGGCTACTCTGCGCATCTGCCTGCTTTGTTTTCTTCTTCCTTGCTAGGAGAATGGCATTTCTCAGCCTGGGCTGCAGCTCTAGAGCAAGGAAGGCGTGAGAAAACAGGTGTGCAGGCAGCCTACTGGCCACAGAGCAAGAAGCAGACCTTTGCTGGTGTCAGCCACTGAGACTGGGGGCTTGGTTGTCACTGCAGCTTTCCCTAGTGACAGCTGACCCATACATGCATGAATGGCAGATATGACATATATGCCACCCCAGCCCAACCCCAACAACCACGCTCACCCCAGGACCCTTGAATCCTTCTTAGTGTAGGGCTCCAAAAACTGGACTTGGCACACAAATATAACTCCACTGATGCCCTAAATTTTAAGGTTCATTTTTTGGGGAGTGGTATTGGGGATCGAACTCACAACCTCACATTTGCCAGACAAGTGCTTGTATTGTTGAGCTAAATCCCTGGCCCCTCATGATTTTGGGGAGTGTGTGTCAGAGTATAGGATCTTGTGTGTGGAACTTACACTAGGGTTGGGCCTAGGATTGCATGACAAAATTCTCTGTTAGAAAAACCCAGGAAGCGGGAGGGTGTGGCTTGTCCTGGACCAGCTGAGTGGCTCTGGGAAAGCCGTGCTGGGCACAGATGGCTGCAGCTTACTGCCTTCTCGCCTGGGGGCCCAGCTGGTCTTGCTCGTGAGCTGGCTCGAGATGGCTGGAGACTGGCAGCTGGGCCTTCACAGCATCACCCAGACAGCCAGCGAGCAGCACAACGCCAGGCCTGGCCCAGGGCTCCAGGAACAATGTAGTCCGGGGCTTCGGCGGGAGGCCAGCCTGGAACACTGAAGGCAGGTGGTGACCCAGGGAGGAGACAGCAAGCCTGGTTTTCATGCTGGCAGCACTGATGTCTTACACTCAACTTGAATCTTCACTATGACCCTCTGAGACCAATGTCATCTCTTTCCATTTCACAGATGAGCAAACTGAGGCTCACAGAGATGAAGTTGCTTACTCAGGGTCCTGTTTCTGCTAAGGGACTGCTGCTCAAGGCCAGGTCCCCCGGACCTTCTGGAGCCAGGCTCACCCTATCAGCTCTCCCACCTCCTCAGGACGAGGGGACAGGCAAGTTAACGCTCCCAGAAAGCAGGTGTGGCCTCCGAGCAGTCCCTGATGTCAACAGGAAGGGGTCCAGTGTGTGGCCTTGTGAGGTCCCAGCCTAACCTAGTTTGTGTACCATGCTGTGCCCAGGCCTCCCTGAGCCTGTTCAGGGTGTGTGTGGGGGGCGGGGGGGGGGGAGTGAGGACAGACGTGACTGATTTCTGTTCTGCTGTCACATGGTGGCCTCTGGGGTGCAGAAGGGAGTGATAGTGATCTCTGGAATCGGAGGAGTCAGATGACTTTAAATGCTGAAAACCATAGCTTCAAAGCCCTGATGAACTTTAAAAAATTTTTAACAGTCACACAACTCTGACTTTCCTCTATGAAACTTATTTTGCAGCAGGTGGAGGGCCAGGCCTGCATCAGGGGACAGAGCCCTTGGAAGTGGGCCTGGCCCTGTCTCCCACAGTTCCCATTTCCCACCTGGGAACTGCTGTGGGAGCATCAGTTATCACAGCAGAAAGGGACCTCAGAGGCCTCTGTCCCAGTTTGCCCATCTTGCAGATGAGAAAACAGAGGTCCGGAGCAGCAGATTGGCTTATCAAGGGCGCCCCCAGCCCTCTGACCACTCTGTCCTGCATGAGTCCTCCCCTGCTCCCACCACTGGCCGTCTGCTTCTCACCAGGAGCTGCTTTATGGGGAAGTCCTTGAGGTTCCCATCTCGAGGGGAGTCCAGCACCACAGGGAAGCCTTTGTGGGGGGCTTCAATGTAGCCAAACTCAATTTCATCCTGTGGGGACACCAGGGACAGCTGTGAGCACTGGGTATGCCTGTGAACATCCGTCAGCATTGTGGGGAAGGAGGGACACAGGGGCTCTCAGGAAGGAGCAGGGAGTTTGTGTCCCCTGGTCCCCGTATCCTCACCCACAAAGGATGGCAGCTCATCTCCCCACAGATAATCTCTGCATATCCTAGGCATGCTTCTCAGCAAGACTGACCTTATTTATTTATTTTCTGAGACAGAGTCTTGCTATGTAGCCCAGGCTGGCCTTCAACTCACAAACTAGCCTAGGCTGGCCCTGAACTTGCAGAGATCCTCCTGCCTCAGTCTCCAAAGTTTTGGGATTACTTTTATTTTTTTAGTACCGGGGATCGAACTCACAAATGCGTGCTTGCAAGGCAGGCACTTATGCTGCTGAGCTAAATCCCCAGCCCTTGACCTCTTCTTAAAAACAAGTGGCATCATCCTGAACATGCTTTCCTTCAAGCAGCAATTTAAAGTGAAGCACATTCTGTACTGGCCTCTGGCTTTTGAGCTGTTACACAGAGCTTCCCATGTCCCCTGCGGATGGATGCTTCACTGTTTTTCTGTCTTTAGTCATGACAAGAAGACACGCAACAGTGACCTCCCTCCCCATCTCTGTGCACAGGTTCAGGGACAAGCTGACAGAATCCTTTGCCCGGGGCTGCTGGCGGCCCGGTATTACCCTAAGCCGACTCCTCTCATCTGACCCCAGCCACGTGCCCCGCCCAGGCCCTCACCTGGATCCAGCGGTCACCGCGGTTCATGTACTGGAAGCAGACCTTCAGCTCACAGTTGGTTTTCTCCACTAGGTTCTTCACCTCCTTTAGGAACAGGTAGTTGTCCTTCATGCTGGAAAGATGGGGAAGACAAGACCCCCCAGAGGAAGGGTGAGGAGGGGACAGGGGCCACCCTCTGGGTGGGGACAGTAGCTGGCCTCTCTGAGCTGAGCTGGGCATCTGAGAGCACCTCTGCGGTCAGTCTTTGCAAAAGCCACTTGGGCAGTTTTTGTCAAGGTCAGGGGCAAAGAAAGCCAGGACGGGAGCTTTGCCCTCACCGGCCCCACAGCCTACATCCCCGGCTGCCAGACTTAAACACGAGCTATGCCGGGCCCGAGGGACGGGTCTGCGAGCCTCACGAGTTCCTCCTGGTTTTGCTGTTGACATCCCTTCCCCTTGTTTCTCACCTTGCTGAGGTTAACCTGGCACATAATAGGTACTCAATAAAAGCCTGCTTAAGGAGTAAGGGAGATGAGCTGAGTGGCCATTGCTCAGGAGGTCCCCAGCTGTGTGACAGAGGGCTGAAGGGGGACGGGTTGCTTCCGGAGCACAAGCCTTGTCCCAGGGCAAAGGGCTGGGCAAGTGCCTTTCTGGCTTCATCTCATTTAATCCTCACAATGACCCTGTGAATAATTCCTAGTCACCCAGCCGCTAAGTGACAGCCCCAGGAACCAAACTCAGGTCAGCCTGACCCAGAAGCCCAGCCCCCAGCCACACTGCCGTGCTGCCCCTCTGGGCCGTGGTCACCCCTTACCAGCACACGAACACTGACACAGGAGGCAGGATGTTGGGCGTCATGATCCACGGTGCGATGCGGAACTTCACGGTGTCCGTGAAGATGGGCGTCAGGGGAACCTCCTGGGCGTGGGAGAGAGTGTGGCCTGGTTAGAGTTTTGTGCTAACCACTGGGAGTCCGCCTCAGAACCAGGCCGGCCACTGCAGGGTGGGCAGGGCACAGGCTTGGGAGGCTCAGGGTTCTTGGGAGCAGGTGTGGCAAACGAGAGGGCCCTGGGGGACAGCTCAGAGGACCACAGCAGACAAGCGTAGGCCACGGGAGACACCCAGGTCTCCTAGCCTGGGCCCCCTGGGCGCTCTGAAGGGCACGGGGCACAGTGTGGCCCCCTGGAAGTGGCTGCCTGAGTGGAGCCACCCTCTGGTTCCCAGGCAGGCCCTGGTGGGGACATCGGGGTCCTCACGGCGTCCATGTACTCCAGCAGGCTGACGTGGATGGAGACCAGGCCCGAGAAGCCCTCGTCGGGGAAGCGGAGGCCTTCCACGAAGAACAGAAGCTCCGCGGAGCCTCCCGTGTACTTGACCACGTGGTAGAGCTTCTTTCGGCCCAGGATGTGGATGTAGCGCTCTCCGAAGAACGGGTCTGGGGCAGGGAAGGGCCAGCGTCAGCCCCCTGCCTCATCAGGGAGGAGGTCAGGGAAGTCACCATGGGGACAGGGGCAGAGTGGCTGTCTTCTCCATGTGGAGAAGCAGAAAATGCCACGGGGACGTCTGTGACAGGTCCCGGGCATTGTCTCAGAGCTGCTGTGTGCCAGCGGGCTTCTGGCTTCCTCGTCTGCACAGGGCTGCTTCCTGTGAATGGCTCATGGGAAATGGGGGCAGGTGGTAACTACACTGGTGTGGCACGGAAGGACGTGACTGCCCCCATTCCACAGACGAGGAAACCGAGTCACAGAAAAGAGAAATGATTCCTCCTCCGTTCACACAACCAGAAAGTGGTTGACCTGGGACTCGGATTCACATCTACTTGTGAACCCTGAGCTCCCATCCCCTTGGTATAAATAAACCATAAACGGATTCATTTGTACCAAAAATTCCCCTCTGGAGCATGAAAGCAGCTTAGGGCAAAGACCAAGTAGGTCTCTGGCTCTCCACTGTCATGGGGAGGAAAGGCAGGTTTCTCCAGTGTTCCTGGGCCCCTGTGATCTCCAGCGTGTCACAGTGCTGTCCTGTTCGGAACAGTCTGTTCCCTCCTCCCTCTGGGTCTTGGTTTGTGTCATGTGTGAGAATCCTGCCCAGATCCTCCAGGAGCAAACCAGGGGCTGCTGGGAGTTCTGCAGGCCCCTGCCTTCCCCCAGCCCCCACAGCCTTTCTAAACACACGGGCCAATGTGAGGGCAGAGGCAGCCCTGGCCCTGCCCTGCTGCCCGCCTGGCGCACGGTCTTGAACCAAGGGCTCCCGTGCCACTCCCTAGAGCAGAGGCCACTGGGGAATTTTCAGGCTGAAGGCACAGGAATGTGAATTATGGCCTCCGGGGGACAGATGTCACTGGGAAGCATCTCAGAGCAGCGCTCAGCCCCTGATAAGATGGAGTGGATGTGGGGAGGCAGCCTTTGCGATGCCCTAGTGGGGCGAGCTATGGGGAGGAGATACTTGCGCTGGCCAAGGCATGGAGGGAGGACCCTACCCAGTTCCACAAGGAGTTTCCTTATGCCCTGCAGAGCTGGAAGAGCAGAATCAGGCTCAGCTTAGTGCTTTTCACAACACAATAATGATTAGTGTCCAGCTGCCCAATAGTTAGAACAGATAACCAGAACGTTCCTGGCACGAACAAGGTGATTGATCAAACTCGTGAAATGAGAGGACTAGGTCTGGGATGGTTCTTCCTGTGGGAAAATGAGCTGGACTTCCTGAACCTCAGTTTACCTATCTGATAAATGGGGGATAATTCCATCTCTGCCACAGGGTCTCTGCAAGTGACACAGTATCAGCAACCTTGGTAACCTCGGTCAGTTAGGAACTGTGACCAAATCAGCATGTCCCTACCACAACACTCGTGGCCTTTCCATCGGACAGCTTCTGGACAGAAGGGGGAGGGGAAAGAAGCTATAGTTCACCGTAACTTCCCTAGGTGTGTCCAAGAAGCAAGGTGGGTAATTCACACCCTGAATGGCCCAAGGAACACTTTCACAGCCCAACCCAGCAGGCGAGGTCCTTTTTCCCCACAGAGGACAGTGTGTGTCCTTTGGCCTACTCTCTACGTAGACCCGGTGAGGTGGGCATGGTAAGTCATTCTCCCCTGGCACTCCGGCCTTCCACACCTCCAGGCAGCTGCATTGAACCAGTGCTCAGGGGAAAGACATTAGGCCTAGCAGCCAATTTTTCTTTGCAGAATTGGCAGAAGCCAGGCTCTCCTGGGGCGCAGGGACCTGGGGGCTCCTTGGGGTCTGAGATGGAGAGCACCTGGCCAGAAAGGGTGGGTCAGGTGGAGGGCGTGGTCTACCATCTGCTGTGGCTCTCTCCTTCCTGTGTCGTCTAGGCCCTGCGATTCACGTGTCTGTCCTCGCCCTCTTTCAGGCAGTTTGGGTGGCGCCAGGGAGATTGATTCCTCGATGGGAACAGTGCAGACATTGTCCCAAGGAGCCTCTGTCCCTTGTTCCCTGTGAACAGCTTGGTGCAGAGCCAGCTGCCCCCAGCATAGGCAGCTCTCCCCGTGGGCAAAAACAATGTCCCCTGTGAAGCTGTCCTCGTGCCTTGGGCTGGGGCTGCTGGCCACCCTGACCTCTGCTGAGCCCCAGGCGCTAGCCCCAGCTGGCTAGCGTGTGGTACGGCTTGGCGTCACCTTTCCAGTCAATCGAGCAATTCCACCTCCCGAGGAGACTCTGACAGTGTGACAGCTGCCTGGGACTGAGGTGTTTCCCAGCATGAGGGGCAAGTCCTGAGCAAACGGGGACAAGGTGGTCACCATGGCCTTGTAGGAAGAAATAAGAGGCCAGCTTTTGGAGTTCTGGGAAGAACATGGACTGGAGTAGGTCACCAGGCTCTCTACGGGGACTGGAGACATCTGTCCACTCCAATTGCCACAACTAGTGGTCACTGTAACGTTTGCCACAAAAGCAACAGCTTCCTGTTTTTATAGTGCCCACAGGTTGACGTGGACGCTGTCATCACATCACAGATGCGGGTCCCAGGGGTGGGGGTGGGGAGTGACCTCCCTGGGTGCAGTGCTTCCTCTTAAGGGATTCCTCAGCTCAGTCCCTTGTGCTTGGGGAGAGCTGGGCCTTCTCTGCTAGGATGCAGGTGACCAAATGACATTTCTGTAACACACACATTCTCGTATTCAGATTTAGAGAAAATCTCCAAAATGCTTGCATGGAAAAAAAGGAAACAGCCACAGATAAATTATTTCTCTCCATTTTGCTTAAGTACTCATCTGGGGATCCCCACTTGGGAGAGACACTGACTAAAGCTGGTGGTCACTGTCTCAGCATGTGACCCTCCCTACAAGACATGTGGCCCAGCTGACAGTCTTGGGAACATTGTCTTATCCCTCGCGGTGGGAGGTCCTCGTTTTCTTAGCCCCTCAAGAGGATGCATTTCGGTAGCAGGTAAGGGGCACAGTTGCAAATGTGGGACTGAATCTGAGCCCATTCCCAAGAGTGCAGGCAGAAACTTCTCGAAAACACTAGATAGCACTGTTCATGACAAGTCTCTGTGAATGCCGAGGCTGGGGCAAGGCCCGGGCCAAGATCTGGCCTGTACCCCTCCTGTGCGGTGGCAACTCTGGCCTGGAGGGGGTATAAACATCAACATCTCTGGCACCCTGGGGCTGCGGAGCCAGCCTGACTCCGGGGACATTCCAGCCTGCCTGAGGTCACCGCCTAAGGCCCGGGGTGGCTCAGAACAGGGCTGGCATCAGGAGCTGCTGGCCACTGGTGCCCTGGCTAAGAAGGTCCCTGAGGTGAGGGCCCCCTGGTGATTGCCCAGCTCTAGTGGGCCCATCCAAAAGTGGTCCTGGCCCCCAGTGTTTCCTGCACAGCTCTGATACAGGAGGTGGGGCGTGGTAAAGCTGGTTGGGGCAATAAGTGGGACTGGTCAGTTACGAGACCCCAGGGCAGCGCCAAATAATTCTCAGGACCCCGCATGTGGCAGACTGCATATAAAGACACAGACAGCCTGCTACCGTGATTCCACGTGGTGGGGGGCTGGGACCCTTGGGGTGCACTTTAAGTGGTGCTTTTATCCTTTTCTCTCTTTGTTTGGCTTGAGTTCACTCTACAGAGCTAATGTTTCCCTTCATCCTTCACCCCACAATTTCCAAATAAACTTTGGGCACCATTTTTGGCCTGACTCATCCCGTTTTTTGTCTGAGGTAAGAATTTTTTGCTCGAGGTAACAAGGATCTGCAATATGTTTAATCGATGAGTCATTTCTAAGGGAACTGCCCGCCAGTGCCATGACAATCTGCAGAGCTGTTTAACATAAATCAGGCCTTGGCAGTCCCTTGCTTAAAACTCTCTAATGGCTCTCCACTGTTCTTAGAATAAAATCCAAACCCTGTCACATGCTCTGGCCCCTCGCCCGGCTCCCTGACCTTGACTCCCAGTACCCCTGCTCTGATCTTTCTGCTCTTCCAAAGCTCCGATGGGTCCCCTCCCCCTGCTTCATGGGCACCGTCCTCTCTGCTCAGAACCCTTCCGCTAGCCCATGAATGGCTGGTTCCTCCGAGACACAGCTCAGCCTATTTCCCACGATATGCTATTTATTATGTCCCCATTGCTAAGCCGGTAGCTCCTTGAGGACAGGGTGTGAGTGTCATTTTTACTCTAGGGATCCCAGCTCCAAGACTAGCGCTGGCACCCGGCAGCTCGACACATGTTCATAGAACAAGCTTCAAGGAGTCCCAGGATATAACACATCCCCTGCACAGTGGGGACCCAGCATACCCTTTCACCGGCTGGAGGAACCGCAGGCCGTTCCTGGAGGGTGACAACAGCACCTCTTTTAAAAGTCAGAGACACCAGAGGCGCCTCGGAGGCAACGCCCACCTGGGCTCAGGTCTCACGAAGGCCCGGGGCTCTGGGAAAGGGGACTGAACGCACTAAGGGGTGCGGGCTGGGAGGGCAGGGCTGGGCTCACTCACTCTCCACGTAGAACACGCCCACTTTGTCTGAGTCCGACACGGAAATGTAGAGAACAATCTCATATCCAGCAGGCAGGTGGTCCGGGCCCTTGGTGCGCAGGATCATCTGGGACATGTCCTTGAGGTCTGGGGACACGACACAGGAAGGTTAGCAGGAGGGGACTGCTGCAGGGGTCCCTTTCACTTTTATAATCAGGAAAAGGACAAGGTCACACATGTGTCTTATGGGAATCATAGGGAAACATACAAAAGGAAAAGCCACCTGTAATCTGAGCGCTCTGGAGGCTGAGGCGGGTGGCTCAGTCTGGGCAACTCAGTAAGACCTTGTCTCAAAATAAAGAGTGAAAAATGGGCTGGGGATGTAGCTCAGTGCGAAGGCACTGAGTTCAAATCCCAGTACAAAAAAAAAAAAAAAAAGCATGGGGCAGGAAAGACTGGTCACTACCTCGGACACTAGAGATGACCACTTGTTAACATTTTAGGAATTTCCTTTCCAGTTATTTTCTACCTGTGTGTTCCAGTTGGACCATATTTACAATTCTGTCTTCTGCTTTGAGCTCAAGAGGATATTTGAGGCCATCGTGTCCAGGAGGCCCGAATCCCCCCCTCCCTCACCCTGCCCAGGACGGGGGTGATGGTTCCCTTGCCCTTGTCCCCCAGGGTGGCCCCGCGGGCACCTTGCTTGCTGTAGACCTTCTCGTCACTGCAGTCCTCCTTGGGCAGCCAGGGTGTGTCTCGGTCACAGTTCACCAGCAGGATGGCTCCCTGGCCCTCGGGGCCCCAGGTCCAGGATGCCTGCATGGCAGGGAAAGAGGCCAGTGCTCTCTTACTCTCCCAGAAGACCCCGAGGGACACTGGAGAGACCACTCAGGATGCAGATAAAGAGAAACCACCACACGCTGGGGTGGCAGCTGTGATCTAGCAGGCACGAATCCCCAGAGAGGACCCATGGGAGCTTCTGAGTCAGGTTCGAGCAGGGTGGCACACAGGAAGGCCAAGCAGGGCAGGCGACCTCGGCTCTGAGTCAAGGAGGAGGTAGGAAGCTGAGGCAAAGGGACAAACAGATGGACATTCTGGGGAGGCCCTAAGGTCCCTTAGGACGGTGGTCACCAACATCTTTGGCACTGGGGACCAGTTTTATAGAAGACAATTTTCCACGGACTGGCACAGTTTTTGTTGTAGTTTCTTTTTAAAATTATTTTATGATAGGATACATTATAAGTATATCCCCCAGTGTTAGATCATTACACCCCTCAGCTCCACCCCAGGTCATCAGGTTTCAGAGTCTCATAAGGAGCGTGCAAGCTAGGCCTCCTGCATACACGTGCAGTTTACGACAGGGTTCGAGCGCCTATGAGAATCTACAGCCGCTGCTGATCTGAGGCAGGACTCAGGCCCTGCTGCAAGCTGCAGAGAGAGATGACGCTCCCGCTGCTCACCTGCTGGGTGGCCTGCTCTGCAGTTGGGCTGCTACTGGTTCACGGCCCGGGGCCTGGGAGCCCTGTTGTTTTCTCCTGCAGCCCAGTGCTAGGAGAGCTGACTCCATCTCATCCCGCCATGTTGCTTCCCTGCATTAAACCCCGACCTGCAGGCCCCTCCATCCGCCTCCTCCTCCTGGTCCCCGGGTTGCTCTGCTCCAGCCCCACCGCCCACTTTTCTGCTTGCAGATGCCCAGCTCCTGGGCCTTTGCTCACACTGGCCCCTCCACCTGGGCCACTGTCCTTTTTCTTTGGCCAGCTCTACCCTCTTCCAGTCTCAGCACAATTGGGCCTTCTCCCAGGAAGCATTTTGTACCCACAGACCACAACAGTGTCCCTGGCTCCACACATGGCATCACACACAGGCTCTTGGGGGGCACTTAGCGATTGCGAGGACACAGCCACCCCTGCCCTGCTTCCTGGAACATGGGTCTGTGCTGGCCTGCGGGTCCCCCAAGGGCAGGTGCTGGATTTTTCCCATTCTGTGCTCAGCCCCTGGGCCTGACTTAGTCCTGGGGTATCAAAGATGCTCAGTGGATATTTACGAGCTTAGAAAAGAAAATGTGAATATTTCACAGGGCCGGGTGTAGAGACAGTCAGTTCAGGTTCTCAGGGGTTATGTGACTGGGCCAGGATTGCTCAGACCTTGGAGAGGCCACAAGCCTGCTTCCTGGAGTTGCTGGGCCTCAGAGCCTCTGTGGGACCCACTGCCACATGGCTGGGCCACGAAGATTGTGTGTGTAGGAGCCCAGCTACGGAGCCTGGGCGAAGGGGCTCCCACAAGGCCTGAGTCAGCTTCTTGCTGGGCTGTACTCATTTTATCTTTGCGTGTGTGCGTGTGCATGTGCGTGTGGCGACAGAGATGGAACCCCGGGCCTTATGAACACTAGGCAGCTGCTCTACTCCTAAGCTGTACTGCCAGGCCTTCCTCTACTCTTTAATAAAGCACTCACCTAGCTGGGGTGGAGCTGAGTGGCAGGGTGCCTGTCTAGCATGGATAAAGCCCTGGGTTTCATCCTCAGCACTAAGCAAAGAATTCAAGTCTTCATAATTAACCTAGGCTTCCGACTGTATAAGAATCACATATGCCTATGACACAATAAAATACAAATGATATAAAAGGTCAGAAAACTAAAAATTGTCAGGAGCAATAGTCTGGAGGTATATATTTACTAACAGACCTCAAAAACTAGATTGGGGAAGGCACAAAACCCATTGAGGTCGGAATGGCAGCTGCTCGAATTAAAAACACAGCCACCGTGTTTTCCGAGGACCCTGGGAACAAAGGAGACGCACTGAGCTGTTAACTGGTCCTTTGCGGGGAGCAGGGCAGGACGGGCAATGCAAGGTGAAAGAGGATAGGAAGAGGGGAAGGGAACCAGTGAAGGAGTCAGCAAGCATCAGGGCTGTGCAGTGGGGGGGGGGGGGCAGCGTGAACAATGCATCCCCTGCCCCCTGGATTTGCCCCCAGGATTCAAAACTGCAAAAAGGGCGGACATTTAAGAACAAATGCCTTGGCATCCCAAAGTGGGCTGGGGAACCAGACCCTGGTGCCGGATCCAGGGGTTCTGGGGGTCTGGGAACCCGTCCTGGGCCCTGGTCTCCAGCCCTGTGAGCCGGAGCTGTCAGCTTGGCGGGAGTGTCCAGGCTGCTGCAGGTCCCCACCCAGGCTCTGCCCCTCCCTCTGCCGCACTGCCGGCGCGTCCACCCCAACAGCCTGGTACCTTATTTGGGTTGTTCTTCTCCACCACACCGTCTCGGTCTGCATCCACGTCCAGGGAGATCTCTGGGGACAAGAGACACAGGTGAACCCCTGATCCTACCAGACAGGAGACCCCTGGGACACCGGGTGCAGCTGACCCCTTCATTCAGTGTCTGGAAAGGGAGCACCCTGCCAGGTCGCTGTCTCCAGCTCTAGGCCTAACTTAGCACCCCTGCCCTCCGGGGGAACTCAGGGGACACTGTGTAGCTGCCTGCTTCCAGCTTCTGAGGTGCTATGAGGTAGTCAGGGTCCCCCCAGTCCTGCGTGGAGGTGAGGGCTGATCCTCACTCCCACCTGGGAGTGTCACCTGGTGGATGTGAAACACCAGGCCCAGGGCCACCCAGGCGGCTTCAGCAGCACTGTGGCTGTCTGCTGTGCTTATAGTCTGAAAATGTACCGTCAAACCAAACGTCCAGTCTAACCGTGCGCATCTGCGTGCCCATGTGTGCCTTTTTCTTTCTCTCTCCAAACTTCTAGTAGCCTTGGTCCAGCTATAAGGACTGCGGATTTTCCCTCTGGGTGGGAAACAGGATCTCCAACCCCTTTGGATTTGGGGTGCCTGTGATCCAGGGCTTCAGACAGAGGGTCCCGGGCAATGTCCCTGCTTATCCCTTTTGTCAGGGAAGGGACCATCAGCATTCCTGGGGGTTCCATGAAGACAGGCTTCAAGGAGACAGTGGTGCAGTGAAAAGACTCAGCCTCAGACAGTGTTGGGTTGGACTCAGGTTCGCTGTTTATGAGCTGTGTGCCTTTAGGCAGGTTAGACAACCTCTCTGAGCCTCGGTTCCCTGACTTCTAACACAGGACCCTCTCAGTTACAGCAGCTTCAAGAACATCAAGGGGGGGCCCTACCTACATTTTGAACCACGTAGTCCTTGATGTGGGGCCTGCCCTGTGTGTGGTAAGATGTTTAGCAACCTCTCAGTTGTGATGGTTGTCACATCACAGATGCTGCTTCCAGATATTGTCAAACAGCCTCAGAAGGCAATGTCACCCCAGTGTGGGGGGGGAGTCCTGAGAGTGGCACCTGGTTCTGAGCCCCAGAGCTGCCCATGAAGACTTGATTTCACCCAAACACAACGTGGAGTGGGTGGAGCGGGTGGGAATGAACGCACCCTGCTCTGTCCCCTCTGCTCCACGGGGAGGAGGGAGGCTCCGCACAGGAAGGGTCCCCATGTCACCTCTCCTGTGCAGCACAGCCCCTCCTCCCCCTGGGTCCAAGGACCCCACTAAGTGCTCCCTTTGCCATCGCCTGATTCCTCCCTGGTCCCGACTGGCTTATCTGGGTGCAGGGGGCGGCAGAGGGTGGGCCATGAGGTCCTCGGAAGTGGCCCCCGCAGTGTCCAGTTGGCCCACTCCTCCTGCCGATGGTGCGCATTCAGCCCATCACCGTGTGTGCCGTGGCCGGCTGCTGGCCAAGGCCTTGGAGCCCACAATCCCGGGAGGTAAAGGTCATCTCACCTGCTTCAGGTGAGCGGCTCCAGCCTTGGGGCAAACTGGGCTGCTAACCTGGGAGGCTGGTGCCAGACAAGGGTGCAGGGGACAGCAGGAAGGTGGTCACCAGCTCCTGTTGGCCTCTATGACCTTTCACCAGGCCCTGGTCCTCTGCCCTGTGTACAGCTGCCCATACTCCCAACTGCAGGGCACTGTCCCTTCCATGTGCTCCTTGCAGTGTTCCTGGTGCCGGCAGGAAAGAAGCGACCTCCAAGTCAGAGTCAGGCTTCCCACCCCGGCTCCACATGGCTGTGCTCTGTCCCTCCACGATCCAGGCTGACCCAGGCCGACCCCCTACGTGGGTCAAATCTGCCTTCAAACGCACACAGTTGCTTCCCTGAAGGTCACGGCCAGAGCTGGCCACTTCCCATCCAGGTAGCCCTGTGACTTTTGTCCCTAGACTGCAAGGTGACACTGCAGCTCTGTGTGTCCATTAGACCAGTGGCCACCAGAGAGAGTACTTTCCACTGCTCTATTGCAGGAGTTTCTTAAAGTTAAAGGTTTTATCCATGCAATATTTGCACACACTGCAAAAGAAAAAAAGTTTAGTCACATGCCAAAGTGCTTCTTAGGAAAGCAGCGGCCCCTGCCCAGTCCATCTCCTCCCTCCCTGATACTAAACAGGCTTTGCTCCATCCTGGTTGAATAAATTCAGATACAGAGCTCTCTGGCTTCCTGTTATGCAATTTGGGTGTTTTAAAACTGGGCCCCTCCCAGCTCTACAGCAACCCTCAGTTTCTCTCTCTGCCCTGTCACCTGTCCTCAGGTCACCTGAAATGTCCTCTTCTGCCCTCTGCCCTCACTCGGAGCCCCCCACAAGGCTTCCTCCTGTCTGTTTAGATTCCACCGGGGTGATGCATGGAGGGACAGGGGGCAGGGCAGGCAGGACTGGCCCAAGGTCCTGTGCTCCTGGGACGGCTGTGCTGTCCCCAGAGGACTCCTGTTTCAGGGCCTTTGGGTCCCAGACATTTCCCAGAGGCTCTGGCTCCTACCTCAGCTCCCCGGAATAGCTCCAAGGTGTCGGGTGGCGCCAGGGTGTGGGGCAGGCTAAGGCGAAATGTCACCAGGATTGGGTTCAAGGCAGTTTGCCCTGAAGACCCTGAGGGCTCCGCAAGCTACCAGCCCAGGACAGTGGCAGGCTGCTGGGCTGCCTGTCCTACTGAGCTGTTTGGGATGTGGTGGGGTGGATGGGTACCCGTTGCTCTCCAAACCCAGATAATCATGAGGGCTCCAGGGAGTGAGCTCCTCCGAGGTCTGAGGGGGTCCCTTCCTCCCACCCCACACTTCTCCCCACCACTGTCCCCAGAACGGAGCTCTCGAGCCTTCAATGTCCCCAAAGATGAATTAGTTCAAATCTCTCATTCTAGAGCTAGGAAAAGTGAGGCCTGGAGGGGGTGGGCTACTTTCAAGGCCACACAGCAAGTCCCTGCAGGACTGGGATCAAGAGGGGTTCTGATTTGTGGCCAGGGATGTGCCTTAGGTTTTTCCCAGATCCCCAGAAGTAGCCCGAGGGATAGTAAGTTTCCAGCTCATCACCTAGGCAGACAGTAAACATGGCTCCCCAGAGAGGAAGGCAAAAGACAGCATTCACTCAGCACCTGCTCTGGGCCCCTGCCACAGGCCCTCTGCACATGCCACCCGACTGAATCCTCAGAAGCACAGCGCAGGAATGCTGTAAGTCCCAGAGGAGGAAATTGAGGCTCAGAAGGGTAATGTCACATTTCAGCAATCACAATGTGGCTGGAGAGGGCAAGGTCAGGATTTATTTCTGTCTACCTCAAGCCAGGGGCCTTTTCTGCTCGATATGGGGGATTCAGTTAAGACTTTGCAGAGTGGATCCCACCCCTTGGGGACTTTTAGAATGTCCTTGCCTCTGGGTACTGCCTTTGAATGATTACCCAGGATGTGGGTGGGGCTCAAGGGTTCCTGGGGTGAATGCCCAAGGGAACGGAAGACTGGTGGGGGCAGACAGACTAGTGGTTTCCTGGGGACACCTGGTATTCACCAGGACCCTGGCAGCACGGGAAGCATGCATACATTTAGCTGGCGGAGTGATGTTTTCTGATTGTAAATGAGTGTCATTTGTCCTGCCTACATCTTAGGAGTTAACACGATGGTGACAGTTGACAGCCGATTGTTTTAATCTCTTTTTTTTTTTTTTTTTTTGTGCCATGCATCAGTGTTCTCTCTCTCTCTCTCTCTCTCTCTCTCTCTCTCTCTCTGTCTTTCTCCTTTTGGGGCAGCCAAGGGGCACATTTTTCTGGCCCACAGAAGCTCACTATCTGCAACCTGTGGCAGTTAAATAAATGCTTAGTGACAGCAACTCAGGACTTTGAGGGCAATGCTGGTTCTTTGTCTCAGGCACACGTAGCACTTCTGGGACTGAGTACCGTGCACCCCACTTCTGGTCTGGTACGTGGGGATACCCGGTGCTGTTTCTCCTGGACCCCTCTGTGCCATCTCCCCTGAGCCCGCTTTGCTTTGGGGCCGACTTCCTGGCACAGAGAGCCGGGATCATCTTCACTCGATGGGCCTCTGCCTCTGCCCCTCCTGCCTCGTCCTCAGGTGTCCCTGTCTGCGGGGTTGGGTTTCCTCGGGGACAGTCATCCGAGACAGCCAGGGGCTATGCTGCACGTGAGGGTCACTCACATGCCAGGGCTCAGACGATCCAGGGAGTCTTTGGTTTCCTTTTCCTAAAGCCCTCTGAGGTCACCCCAGGGTCTCCCACCTCCCACTGGGCACCTCTGGGTGCAGGAAGAGGGAGGAGTTGACCAGCAACCAAGCCCACTTTGGAGGGAGCATCTGAGAGCAGACAGGCACTGCTGTTCAGCTTGTTACAGGACGCAGGGAGGGCAGAAGGGGAGCTGGTGGCTAGGGAGAGTCCGAGCCTAGAAAGTGAGACCTAGCCAAATGACTCAGTGGCCCACCAGCTGCCTCCTAGGGGTTTAGCCTCAGGCAATATTTTTGTTTGCTTTTCTGAGGCTTGGTTTTCTCATCTGTAAAATGGGTATATTAATGGCCTTAATCCTTGGTATTGCTGTGAGCATAGACAGAAACCAGGACTGCAAGATACCTAAACACTGGAGTATGGTACACTGAAGGTGCTCCATAAATGCTCAGTGTTTACCGTTCTCCTCCTCCTCCTCCTGCCTCCCCCGCCCCACAGCAGCCCTAGACACGACTGAGGTGCACAGAAAGTAGAGACATCATCAGGGTTTTTTAAAAGCCTCAAGCACACAGTGGGTGCTCAAGTGAGTTTTTCTAACCTCTCTGGGCCTCATCATCCCTGTGGGTCCAATGAAGGGCTTGGACGAGTGGGTTAGGGACCAGAGCTGCATCTCTGTGTACTCAGGGCTGGATGTGGGGAGGGTGAGTGGGGAGGAGCTGGGATTGCCTAGGACCAGGCTGCAGGGGAGAGGGGGGAGGGACAGTCTTTCCTGGTTCTCCACGGCCTGCAGGGTCAGTCCTTGGCAGACGAGGGCTCTTGCTGTAGGTGGAAGGACCAGGGGCTCGTGTGGCCCTGCCTAGGCCTGCCCTGCTCAGAAGAGAGCCTGAAACCACCGAGCTGGGCAGCAGTGCCGGGCCCAGGGGGTGAAGGTACCCAGGACACAGCACGTAAACTCACCAATGGCCGTGAGGAAGAGTCCAGCCTGGTCGATGGGGCCACCGCCTTCTTCCTCATAGTAGTTGACGGTGACCTTGGGTGGCATGGGGATAGAGCAGGGGCAGAGATGAAAGATCCCAGCAGAAGTCAGGGGAGCTCTCAGGACCCCCAGACCCTCCTCTCCAGGAAGCTCTCCTGGGCCTGCTTCTCCCAGATGACCAAGCTGGACAGCAGACGCCCCACTTCTCGGAGCACAGGATGCTCTGTGCCCACCTGGCCCCCATGCACTCTCCGCTGCCTCAGGCGGCTCCAAATCCCACTGTGCCCCACGTCTACCGCTCATGCTCCGATCCAGACAGGCTGTTTTCTTTGGGTACAGCTCAGCCAGCACCGCCGAGGGGCGGGAGCGGGCAGTGCTGGTCCTGGCTGCTCCATGGGGGTACTCGCTTACCCCTGAATGCTCCACAGCCCCTTTTGGAGACAGTGAGATCCAGGGTGCTGGGACTGAGCCCCCAACAATCCCATGGCTCTGAGATCTACTCTTCCCCTTCCTCCCCCTAACCGTCCACACTGTGACCCTAGGAAGCCACCGCTCCCAGTTCAACAAGACAGCTGCTAGCCGGGGCCACCGAGCTCTTGATATGTGGGCAGTCTGCACTGGGACATGTTGTAGGTGTGAACTCAGTTTAAGTGAAAAAAAAAAAAAAAAGAAAACGAAAATAAAAAAACTATCTTATTTTTAAAAAATTTAAACCATGTCCAAGTGATAACTTGATGTATTCGTTTAAGTAGATTATGTTAGGAAAATCAATTTCTTTTCTTTTTGTGTGCGTATGTGGCACGGAGGGGTGAACCTAGGATCTTTGCACTGGGCTGAACTCCAGCCCTTTTTATTTTTTATTTTGATATAAGGTCTCACTAAGAGACCCTAAGATCGCTAAGTTGCTCAAAGTAGTGACCCTCCTGCCTCAGCCTCCTAGAGTGCTGGGGTTACAGGCATATGCCATAGTGTGGAGCCATTTTTGCCTCTTTTTTCATATGATTATTAGAAAATTGGGGGAAAAAACTGCACGCAGCTCTCCTGGGACAGGGCTACTCTGTTGTGCCCCATCCCTGGGATCCTGTAGTTCAGGAGCAGGACTTCCCTGACGTGGTACCTTGTCGCTGCTGGCCTCGGTGCTTGCTTGGCTCATGGTGAGCCGCAGTATGGTGCTGGGCGACAGGGCCCAGCGCTGTTTGCCGTTGGTGGACACCTCCTCGGCCTCCCCATCACGCACCACCTCCACCTGCACGTGCTCCGAGTGCTTCAGGCTGAAGGTTGTGGCCCCGGCTGGGGCCGCGCTGGAGGGAGAGAGGACAGGGGTCAGGGGGAGCCCTGGGGTAGGTAGAACAGGGCTTCAGGAGGAGGCTCCTGGAGGCCGGGGAAGGAGAGGGCTCAAGGGCCTCCTGGGTCATCTTATCTTGGGGACAAAGGGCCAGCTTGGCAGCTACCTGTTAGCAGAGGTTCCCGGGCCAGTCTTCCCCTAAAACCTAGTCAGAGTTCTGGGGCTTAGAGACCTAAGTTCTTCACTGTTTTTGAGGTGCTGAGAATGGAACCTAGGGCCTCATGCGTGGTAAGCAAGTGTACCCTGAGCGCACCCCAGGCCCAGGGCCTGAATTCTTAGCAAGGATCTTAGGCTTCTGATCACTTGCAGCTTTGTGACCCACTTTGGGAGCATGTGGTACCGTGGGGTGGGGTGACAGAGGCCCAGACAGAGGGATACATTTGCTCCAAGGCAGGTGATCCTCCTCAGCAGGTGCCTCCCGTCTCCAGACCTGTGAGAACATGAGCAGCCCGTGGGGTTTGGTTTTGGCCGCCTGAGCTAAGATGCTGGCTTAAGGGGAGGTGACAGGGAGATGGGGGAGGGGAGGACACCAAGGGCTGACAGTTTTGCTGAATTCGGTGCTTGGTTTGAGGGCTCCCAAAGGCCACAGAGGGCTCAGAGGGATCTAGGAGGGATTCTGAGGGATTTGTGACTCAGACACTGGCCTCAGGAGGTATCTGCCATTCTGGCTTCCAGAATCTTGACTCTGATGGGCTTCAGAAACAGCAGGGGTGCTGTCCGAACCTTGAGGTGTGTTCTAAAGGCTGAAGATGTGTGGATTCTGTCTCTGGAGAGTCTTCCTGGTGCAGCTGAGGTGAGGCAGGGACTGCTGACCCTGTGACCAGGACAGGCTGCAACTGGACTTTGAATTTAGTTGTAGTAGGGCTGGAGTAGCCCCAAAAATCTGCTTTGTCTCCTGTTTCCAGGAACTGTTGATGCTGCTACACACTTTGAGAGCCCCTGGTCTGGATGTTCAGCAGTGTGGCCCAGTGGTTAGAGCCCCGGGATGGCCAAGGTTGTAGGTGTCAGTCTGTCGCGGCTGCTTGGCATCTCTGACTCGCTACAGACTGGGGCTGAGGACATAGCTCTGAGGCACAATGCTTTCCCACCATGCACAAGGCCCGTGCTTCCACCCCTAGTACCACAAGGGAAAAATGGCACATAAAAAGTAGGCCACTGCAGGGGTCACGGGCCGATGGCCGGTACCAGGAGGGACACTGCCCAGGAGCCAGCAGCCCATTCCAGGTGTTGGCAGAGGAGCTCAAAACAGAAGCTCCAAGCCAATCTGTCCTTGTCCCCCTACCCTTTTCCAAAGTCTTCAGCCCCCTGGGGACACAGGGCTGAGCTGATTTCTATCTTTTTTTAAAGATACATGCTTTGTGGACATGGCCTCGTTAGTAGGACGGGCAAGTCCAGGCAAAAGCCCTGGATCCGGGGTCCAGCTGTGGAAGACCTGGGCCTGAGCCCAGTTTTGTCAGGGCTTGAGTCAGGGTTGGGGGGACCTCTGGGGAGCACGGGCCCCTCTGCCGGATCCCTGTCCGGCTGTAACACAGCCACGGCTGCTTCCCATTCTGAGCTTCTGCACACAGTCCTGTCGGTGCTTTACAAACTCCACAGGGGGACGATCCCTTAGGACCCTGCCTCTGTGACTATGCTGATGCGCCCTGCCTGCTCTCATTCCTCTGGGCCAGTGAGAAACCGGAGCGGGCCCCAGAGGGTCCAGGGCGTTGGTACCCGCCACATCACAGCCCCAGGGGCCCACACCCTCCTACAACCCAGTGCCAGTCCTGCTCTGAGCTGAGCTGAGCAAACAGCTATTCAAACGGCTATTCTTGGAGCAGCAGTCCTGGCAGAAACAACAAAGGTGCCATTGTCCCCAGCAGATCCTGCCAGCAGCCTCCCTCCGGGAGAAGCTCCTCTCGAGCCCCTGCAGCGACCCAAGAGCTGCTGTGGGCCTTGGGGACTGCAAGCAGCCGCTGCAGCATGGAGGGAAGGAGTGGGGCGAGAGAGAGGTAGACAGAAGGACAGACGCCCGTCCCTGCACAGCACCTGCACTGCAGCCCAGCCCTGGGACCTGGCTGAGCTCTGTGTGCTTTGGGAGTGAAGCATGAGGGAGCCTGCCTCTCCTGACTTTCCCAGCTGTGTCACCAGAGAGGTTTTTTAAAAAAACATAGAAATCAGGTCAGAAATCACTCTTCAGCCTGGAGCTCACCCGGCGGCCCTGAGCCTGCCCATCCTGCATTTTCCGTCACCCCCTAACTTTCTGCATGATTCTGCTTCGAACCTGCTGTTCCTTCCACCCAAAACACGCTTCCCTGTTTGGGCCCGTGTTTACTTTCCTCTGTGCCAGCTGGCTCCTTGAAAGCAGGGGATGGCACCGTCCTTATCTAGTTTTAGTGTCTGGCAGACAGCAAGCACAGTGTTTGCAAGAGGAAGGTCTGGAAGGGGAGGGCCTCCTCGCTCGGTCATACACTCATTCAACACACGCCAGGCACCGTTCTAGGCGGTAGGGACTGAGGGGTGAAAAACAGGTAACATGTTCCCCAGGCCCACAGAGTGTATATTCTATTTTTTTGGTACTGGGAATCGAACTCATGACCTCGTGCTTGCCAAGCAGGCACTTAAGCTGCTGAGCTAAATTCCAGGCCCAAGAGTGTATATTCTAGGGAAAGAGAAGACTTCCTGTGATTATCGCTGAAGGGGACAGTCCTTTAGGAAAGAGCATTGGAGCTGGGGTCTAAATTGCAAAGGATTAAGGCAGATGGGGAGCCTTATAAGGGAAGGTAATGGGGGATGATTCAAAATATATACAGCTATGAGGGTGCACAGTGGAGCCCAATATTTTCATAAAGGTAACATTTCTATCATTAAAAACAATGAACGAAGCCAGAAGATCTTACACTTAAATGTACGTAAGACGGGTTGCTGGGCTGGGGATTTAGCTCAATGGTGCAAGCCTGAGTTCAATCCCTGGTGCAAAAAAAAAAAGTTATTAAAGGTAATTAAAAAAAAAAGATAGCTTCCTGGGTGCATGCCCATCTTTCCCACCCCGGTCTGGGTGGAGCCTGGGAAACCGCATTTCTAACAAGCTGATGCTGCTGATGCTGCTGGACCCCGGAGCACAATTTGAAAATCACCCAACCGGACAAAAGGAGGAGGCGTCCAAGCCACGGGGCAGCCTGGGGGATGTGCAAGGTGGGCACGGCCTCGCACGCTGGCTGAATGTGAGCAAGGGGCAGAGGTGTGGTGAGAAGAGGTGGCAGAGATTTTACAGGAGCCAGGAAGTCCCTGCAGGCTGCTGAGCGGGGCCGGTGTGGCCATCTGCATTGCACACAGCTTGCCCAAGTGGATAGAGGGAACAGAGCAGTGGTGGGGACAGAAGGTCCCCACGCCATGCTGGCTGTTTGTTATCATGCAGATCTCTAAAAGGTTCACCATCACTGCAAGAGAGGGGCTGGTGAGAATTGACAGCAGGTGCCCAGGTGAGCAGGGGCAGCTTTGGGACTGGATGGTGGCTTGGAAATGGAAATGGCCGGGAGGCTGGTGTCAAGCGACGGATACCTGCCAAGCCCCTCTGGTCGGCTCTCCGTCAGCGCAGAAGGTCACTGGCTTGGCTCTGCAGGGCTGGGAGGCATGACACGCCTGTCCCTGGCTGGCGCTGCCCCTCTAGCCTGCTCCACACCTGGCTGGACCTCGTTAACACCACCCGGGGCTCATCCTTGGGGTGAGCCAGCTCCTGGCAGCCTGGGTGCGACAACCTGGCCACGGGGCTTTGGAGGAGTTGGTGGGGGAGCTGTGGGTGCCAGCCTGGCATGCCACCCGGAGTGAGCACCCTTGAGAACCGTGAAGGGAGGGAGGCAGGGCCCGGGAAGGTAACAGTCTGGGCCTTCCATCTGGTGCTCGGTATGGAGGTGGCCAGAGCCCTGAGGCTGGGCAGCCGCTGGGCAGGGATCCGGGAGGCACAGCCCGTGTCTGCCTGCTGCCAGCCTCCTGCACTGGAAGCCGCGGCAGCCCCCAGCTGTGCTCCAGCTGCCCGGGCCTCAGCTTAGGAACAAAGCACTCTGGTTCGTGGCCATTCCCTTCCTCGGGAGCCTTCAGTGACTTCCTACTGGCTACGGCTCCCTCACCACCTGTGCGCTCCCCGGGGAAGGTCCTTGGTCTCACTCTGAGCCCTGACCTCAGCTTAGTGGCTCCTCTGCCAGAAGTCTTCCCTGGTGCCATCAGCCAGATGCATCGCTCTCTTCCTCTGCCTCTGCCTCAAACAACACTTAACAAACATCAAAAGCACCCTTTGCATGTGTGCTATGGGCTTTTGAGTGCCGGGACCATAACTAGGCATACTTTGCTTGAATAATATAATAATAACCCAAAACCTAGGTTGTTCCCAAGATTTAGATAGAATTGGATTCATTATTATAAACAGCCCAAATGACCATCAAGTGATGTCTTTTTTTTTTGGTACGAGGAATCAAACTCAGGACCTCATGCTTGCCAGGCAGGTGCTGTGCCGCTGAGCCACAACCACAGCCCAACTCGCAGCTGCTGAATGGGTAAAGAAGATACGCGATTTTTAATACACTGGAGTACTACTCAGCCATAAAGAAGGATAAACTTGAGACATTTATAGGTAAATGGATACTTATAAGTGAAATAAATCAAACACACGTGTGTAAATAGTGCATTGTTTCTCTGGTGTAAGAAACTGAAAGTGTCAATAAGGACCAGAATGTATACTAGAAAGTATGAAATAGGCGGAAAATGCTCAGTTGGGAAAGGGAATTAGGGGGGAGGGGAGAAGAAAAAACGGAAGAAAAGAGGGAGAAATGGAAACAAAGGTTTTGTATATAAGGAGGGGAAGAGGAGTGGAAGGGAAGGTAGGGGAATAGGAAAAGAAGAGGAATTGAGATACGTCATGCACAGGTACAAAGTCACCGAGATGAAAGTGACCATTATGGATAATTAAAATGTACCAGCCAG